TTTGTATGACTGCAATAATGTCACAATTAATGAGCAGTGAATTTTGTCGTTAGTTTTGATATTTATTAATATTTAAGGAATATTTGTGACTACAATAAGACATAAATCGAGAGTTACATTAACGCCATTAGTAGGAGCGATAAACATTGGTATTGCAAACATTTATTCAATTATTGTCTTCATTTCAAATATCCATACAATTGGATGAGAAGTGAAGTGAATGTAGACTTTAAATGTGAAGAAAATGGAGACCACTGTTGAGATAATAATTTTGTTGCGCTTTCGCTATAACCTAATATTGGAGGGAATGGGAGAGAAAGTGGCAAAAGAATAGATGATATGAAATAAATGCTCCGATAGTTGTTTAGTTGTTATTTCAGAGAGAGTGGAGAGAGAGAGAGAGAGAGAGAGATGGCTGTAAACGAGAATTCATTGATGCCTTCTATCACTTTATTTACTAATAGCTCACAACCGATAATCTCTTTTCAAGTGAAAAACCATTCATTTGAGTTATAAGACCAAAAAACAGAGCCAAAACTTCTTGGAGTAATCGCACTCTCATTATTCTCTCTCTCTCTCTCTCTCTCTCTCCTCTCTCTGAAATAACAACTAAACAACTATCGGAGCATTTATTTCATATCATCTATTCTTTTGCCACTTTCTCTCTCTCTCTCTCTCTCTCTCTCTCCCTCTCTCTCTCTCATGCAGTTGTCTCCGGTTGTCCATCGAATACATTACTCACAGAATTGTTCCGCTTATTTGGTTTCTGGAGAGTGAGTGTCACTTCATATTCAGCAATGCATTACAACAGCAATGGATGTGATGTGAGTGTGTCTGTCATGGCTATCACCAAACCATACCATTCGCTAGAATTTAAGTCGACTATTAAAATCGTTATTTTAATTTGAAAATATGTCACAATTATATTTAATTAACTTATGATGACAGTAAATGACAGTTAAATTATTTATTAGATTCTGAACAGATGTTTGCCATTTTGTTGACTTATATTCACTTGATGTGATTCTTGTGAATTATTATATTAAGTTATAAACTCTATGTTCAGTGCTAAAGAATTTATATAATCAATGTTTTTAATATTTTTGAATGTATATCTTATACTATAAATTTTATAACAAATACTGTATGTAAGAATAATGTATAAAACCGCTATAAAAACATTATTTTACTTACAAAACCATTGGGTTTAAGCGCTGTAAACATTTATTAATAATCTTTGATTATTAAATTTAATTATTATCAAAACTTTAATATAAATATATTAACAATTTTAGCTTATATATAGTTTGGTTTTATAATATTTATAGTAAGTTATTTTTTATACAAATAAAAATGATCTCGTTTTTTAAAAAAGACTATCCAATTTCTTTATTGTCAAAATTCTATTCACGTTTTTTTAATTTATCAAAAAAAGTATATTTCATTTGAATCAGAATCTCAAACAAATATGATTTTAAAGAAAATTCAATTTCCTTTATAAGAGATAAATATTCTCACATTTTGTTTGCATACTTTTGAGAAGTTTGTAAAGTAAATATGAATAGAAATAATAACATTTTTATAAAGCATTATGTTTATACAATAATTTTATAAAATATGAGAATAATAATTGTTTATATATTTTAGCACGATTAATTATTACAGTTTTATATTCAGTGTCTATATTTTAATAAAAGTATATAGATATAATATTTATCCTGTACTCCACTATATAAACACATGAAAGTGACTAAAATTATTTATTAATCTTAAAAATAAAATACTAATTGTTTCGTAAGTGTTTTAAATTACCTACGTTAATAAATACTGATAAATTTAAGTGAAAAATCACATAATTTAGAAATACTGAATATACTATACAATCAAAATATCTCAAATTAAAATATGTGACAAAACTAGGCAAAAATATAAATTAAATTAGATTCCGGAGCTGATACAGTATGATAAATAAACTAGTACTGTATTATTATGGTCGCATTCATTTAATTTTTGAATAATTATTTGCTTTCACTTTAAATTTTGTAGATAATATAACTTAAAATGTATATACTTTTTAAAATTTACAAATAAAAGTAGAATCTGCAAATAATTTTTAATAATTTATTTTTATTCAAGTCTTAATTTATATTACAAACAATAAACCCTAAGCAGAAACAATATTGAGAGTTATCTAGCATTTCTCAATATAAAGTATGTATTTTATTTTACAATTTATGTAATATTATACTTGTACAGCATTAATGTTTTTAAATAAATCAAAACTCACAATTATTTCATACATAATTTTATATTTAATAATATATTTAGTCAATAGGCTTATTACCAAATTTGCTCATTGAATATAGTTAAAGCTATTCAAGCTTTGAATTAATAATTAATATAGATTTGTTGTGATTTATATCTAAAATCAGTTTTAAATATTCATTAAATATAAAATACAGAATAAATGCGATTTTTTGATTAATTTTCACAATTAAACGTAAAATTTAAATTTTATTTTCAAAACAAATGCAGTATTAATAGCTTTTAATCATTATTAATATATCATAGCAATAGTGTTAACGAAATATAGCAATGCTTTTGAATAAATCCGTGACAACAAGTAATTATAGATAATATTGTAAATATGATCACAATATAGCCTTTCATAATAAGTAGAACAAGGCTTTCGCCAATAATTGTAATAATCGTGTTAATAATAGTAATAATATTAATAATCATAATATTAATAATCGCAATCATAATATTAACCTTTAATTTTAGTAAAATAAAATCGATAGCTTATATGTATTAATAAATATATTTTTAGAGAGAAATTACATATTCATAAGAATTTGGATTTCAATTACAGTTAATTATATAAGTCTTTAATAGAAAGACAACTCATTCAATGGTTGCTCATCATAATAGCACTCAAATTCATTGTTTCTCAAAATTAATTCATTATTTTTTTGTTCATTCATTCATCAGACAAGAGACGATTCATTTATTATTACATTTTGGTATAACATTACAATTATTGTGATATTTTTGATATTACTTTATGAGAGTGTGTGCGGAGTAACGAAAGACATGATTAATTATAATAATTGATTCATTGAAAAGCCAATTGAAAATGAATGGGAGATTGAATGGGTTAGGGATGGGAGGGAGTGGTATGAGAAATGTCATCCCACACAAGCCATCGCAGCCCCAACTTATACGACAATTGTGTGGAGAATCCCTTCTCATCACTCGTGTAAACATCTCTTTGCAAACAATTTCTTTTCGTTTTATATGTAGTCTTAATATTAGTGATAGAATTATGTGATAATATATAATATATTTTTTTGTTTCAATACTTTGTTATACAATTTTATTTAAAATTCTGTGATATTTTTAAAATAGCAAAAAATTCATGAAAAATGTTTGATAAGAATATTTATGCGAAATATTCTAATTTTGTGTTTATTTTTGTATAACTTTTTTTAAAAGCCATATATGAAAGACATTTAAGCGGAGATTCTATTAGTGATAGAGTATATGATTTTTGAAACACCAGTGCACTTAACTGACAAAAACATTTATCTTAATTTAATATAAACTTCATTCTCGATAATTGACATAAAAATGTCTGAGAATTTGATTATGAGGTTTGCATTTTGTATAGCCTTTCAATTCATATTATATTATATAATACTACTGACGAAGAAATTCTCTATTTAATACTACACAACATTTTCTGAACAATTTTTATGTTTATTTCTCTGACGATGAACTTAATTAATGGAAAATATTTCAGTCGTCCGGATGTATAAATTAATACGAAATGTGTTCCCATTTATAATTAGTATTTCAATTATAATCAGATTTTTTTGGTATTCAATTAATTAAATTGTTAATTGAGAAAAACAAATCATTTCGCATGACTTGTATATAACAAGTGATTATTTTGGCGTTGAATAGCAAAATGACTGCAGAAATAGTTGTCTAAGAAATACAGTGTGTTTTGCCGTGCGATACAAAACTGTTATCCAATTGTTTGGTCAGTATTATAGAGTATTATACATCTGTTTATCCCTTCATCGCAAATAACCTAACGTTTTGTGAATGCGATATAAAATCAATGTTTGATTTGATAGTATCCACAAGAAAATGATTGCATGTTTACTTGAAAAACGAAATCTCTGATTTCAACTTTTAAAACCAATATCTGTATAAAAACTGAAATTGAGTTTAATTTTTATGAAAACCTTTTCAAAAACAATTTCAAAAAATAAACGAAATGACAAATAATAGGCGAAATTTATTTTTGAATCATGTCTGAGAATAAGCCCAAAATATAATGGTTTTAAATGATCATTAATCAAATTTTTAATTAAAAATTTTGAGAAACATTTAATATTATAAATTAATAGAAATATTTCATATATTATACGCGTTTCACCGGTTTCTGGCCTAAGACAGGCCACACACTCATCGGGTGCTTAGCTTAACATTAAGCTAAACAAGTGATACAAATAATATTTAAATATATTATATTTAATTATATATTGTTTTATAATTATATTTTATGCTTTCAAATTTAATTAACACAATGAAGATATTTTTGTTTTTCAAACCAAATCTATTGTTATACTAAATATTAATTATTAATATTTTAATTTTCAAAATTTCTCGTTTTACTAGAAATCGTGTTTTACTCGTTATTTTACAAAAACTATTATCAAATGAGTTTATACTGTATATTCAAATAATAAATACGTTTACATTGATATTAAATTTATTTATCCAAACACTAATGGCTTACTAATAACCGATCGATAATGAAACAAAAATCCAAACCATTAAACAGTGTTTTTATATTTAAATTATATTTTAAACCAATACTAAATACATGATACGAATAGTAAGTTAAAAGCTTTCACAATGATTTTTGCTTCAAATTTCATTTGTAATACAATTGTCTTAATTAACCAAAACTTTGTGGTTAACAGAGCTTAAGGCCGACAGAAGACAAATTCGTTATAATGGTTCCATCGGTTCTCTTCGGTATCGATGCCGGGCTTCAGTGGTTCTCCACTTCCACACGAAGTGCCCGAACCACAGGCGCCCACTAATCGAAAGCCCGCCTCCTGGAGGTTATCGAAGGCTGACTCCAACTGGAGGTGTTTGAGGAAATAGCGGGCCGTATACCTGTCGTCCTGGCCGTGATCCGGGTCACGCGACTCATTCAGGTTCTCACCGAACACTTCCTTACAGAGCAATACCCGTCCGGAGACCAGAATTCGAGTCAATTTTCGGAACTTTATGTCCGACAGACCGTCGCGTCCGAAGGCAAACGAGCCCCGGTATCCGACGGTTATGTAGCCGTTGGCCCCATAGCTGGGAGACACTGGAGGCGGCGTTGCGGTCGACGCTAATGGGGTCAGTGATAGCCGTTTGTTGGACGACAACTGATAGACTAAGTCCGAGAGCTTATAGTATTCTGCTTCTACTCGTAGGCGTTCCCTCTCAGCGAAGACATCGGGAAGTATTAGCTTTCGGGTCCGCAGATAGTCTACGATATAGCGAAACAGTTGGCCATCTCTGTCAATAAAGTACCGGCCCTGAGGTAACGGACAGACATAACAT